CCTAGGTGGACTACAGGAGTTTACAACTTCATCGGCAGTATCTGTACTACTGGGCATTTTGCGCAAGCAGTTGATAACAATAACAATCAATAACAAGGTATAACAATAACAACGACAAACTCAACAACTTAATAAGATAACAAACGAAAACGTCCAAAGAAATATCAAATTGCAATAATGCACACGACATACGTAACACGTCTGAACCTGAATGTGACTCTGCCTTGATACGACTGCTCTGCCGCTCGGCATAGGCATTTAATTGCGAATTGACCAATGAGGGCTCCTGTTTTACGTCGAGACGGCGGCGTTAGCGTGAAAATCACCCGAACCTTTTGTTTACATCCGGTCTATCTCTTATCTGAATATACTGTAAATCGCAAAATTCCGCTACTTTTAACAAAAAATCCAATTCCGCCGCTACGACGCTACCCCTTGAAAATTCCGCTACCAGTAGCGGAATTCCGCTACTTCTGGCAACACTGGTTGCTGGATTCCTGCTGAGGGTGATATACGTATCGGAGGAAGAGGGAGGGGGTGTCGGTGCTTGATAATTAAAGAGCAGGAGTTGTCTCCATGATTCGGCAGAGGTATTACGTAACTTGAAGAGTGCCGCTATGTCGGTTTTTTTTTTGACATTATGTAGGTTTAACAAGATGTCAACTTGAAACTAGCCGTCGTCCACTTTATGCTCACTTGTAGCAAGCTCGGAATAAACTATTTGAACACTAGCAGCTACCTACTCAACAAGTTGACATTCCATCGGTTTGTTTGACATTATAGGTACAGGTATAGTTATAGGTTTTTTACTTAATAACCCTGCGGCATGGGTATCATGTAAAAAATCTATAAAACGTCAAAAAAAGGTAGTTTTTAGGGCGCAAACAGTCATTCCACGTTTGCTCACTAGGATCGTTGTGAACGTCCATCTCAGGAGGAATTACTCAAACTAAACTACATGCTTTATTGATTGCATATGTTTTGTGAGACCAAATGAGCCTTGTCTGTAGCTTTTATCTCTGAGAAGAAAGTTGGTTGAATAGCAAGATCGCATCTGGATGATTATGTGTATTGATCTGCATGTGTATAAAATCAGTGATATTTGCTGTGTAAGAAAATCATTACCGAATATGCTGCCATTGAAGTATATCTATTGGCTGTGCCCGACGGGTTATTTTTATGTTGTGCTTTCTGAAGAGAGGTTATGTTCAAAGTTATAAATTACGAAAAACTGAGGAGAATTACGTAAAGTCAGCACCGCGCCCGCGTTGAGAGTACCTAATTACTGTTAGCATGTATATGACTTGTAATTCGACAGTGTATAGTGAATATAATTATTTCTTATCTCTCTCATTTTTGAAATTCAGCAGATTTGTATATGTAATTTCCAGAATGGATAAGAAAAAGTGGATGCGCAACTAATTTATAGCTTTGAATCTCAATTAAATGTATTTGAGACAAGAACCCAATGTAATTATCATCAACACATACAACTTACAGCTTAGACCTCCAGTAATGCCATCTCTGAAGCAGATTTTACATCAAACCAGAACCAAACATTGATAAACAAGCCTCATGACGTTTAGGCAACACTTACAACTAAGTGCTGAGTTAGCAGCTTGTAGAAAAACCCACATAATGTCAAAAAAACAGCATATTGTCAAAAAAAAAATCGGCATGATGTCACTTTTCAAGATACGTGATACCCGTGCTGGTCTAGCAACGTAATTTTTTTACCAAGATACAGCAGTATGTACTACGTTTTTCGAAAATATGGCTGGGGGTGGGGATTAACGCTCCAATTCGAAATATTACATCCCAGCACGGATGATTCTTTAGGCTATACCTAAAAGTGTATGAAAGATTTTCTGATTTGCAATATTACAGAGTCTCTATGTAGCCAAGGATATCTAGAATGGCAGAAAAAAGTTTAAGTTTGGGGACTGATTTTTTATTAGAAAGATTGCCGATTCCAAAATTAATGTTTAAAAAAAATGTTAAAGGAAAACATTATTCAATAGCCAAAACATGGAAAATTTGCAGTTTAAAAAAGTCATAGAGAATGCTTAACAATTTTTGAGAGTTTAAATTGCCAATAAATTTTCTGAAGCTAATGGTCATTTTTCTCGAGCTGTCTAGTGACGTAACCGCTGGCTACAGCAAATTGAGCATGTCTTGATGATCTTTTCGTTCACTTCAACTGTTCCGTAGACCACTCAGACCATTAATTCATATTTTTTGAATATACGCGAGGAAGCGACTTTGTTGTGAAATCAGCCCATACGCGTGTCTTCTTTTAATATCTCCACTCAAATACTTCGATTACTACGCATTTCAGAAAAAAAGTTTCAAACATAAGTTGCAGGGTTTTGAGCAAGCAAAGTAGCGGTGGCCTTCAAGCTATTTTTAAGGTCAAGTGAATATTTTTAAATAGATCTCTCCCTTTTTCATATCGGAATAGAAAAGAGAAGTAAATTTTACGTCAAGAAATTACATTGACGATGACCTTGAGCCCAACCTTCAGGCCATTTCAAGGGCGACTCAGGATATCGAAAAAAATTTGCCTCACAAAAAATATTAGGCCGCACAATTGAGAGGATTACCCAAAGGTGACCTTGACCAGGGCCCTAACTACGTCCTTCAAAGGTAACGCCTCATTTTTAAAAGTGGAAATGGAAAAACCAGAAAATTTCACGTCTAAATTTGACCTTGACCTCCAGTATAAAAATGAAAGGGTTCCTTCTGAAATTTTGAGTTAACCTTGAAGGTCATGGACACGATCATCTTTGGGAAATCCTCGCAACGCTCACAACTGAACCCCACATTTGGAGGTAATATCCAAGGTCATGACTAAGGTGATGTTCGGAATTAAAATTTGCTTTATGCCATTTCGATCTGAAAACATTTAAAATATTCACTTGATCTTGGAATGTCTTTGAAGGTCGTAGTCAAGGTCATAGTCAAGGTAACTATCATTTTGCCCCCTCGAAGCCCTACAGCTTTCCTTTGAAACTTTTTATCTAGATTGCGCAGTTTCCGAAATATTCAAGTGATGAGACTAAAATGAGACACTGTGTATATTTTTTTCTATTACCCAGGTTTTTTTTTGCTAATTAGCTTGATATTGTGACAGCTGATCCCTGTCAGTGATGATTTCGTCATAAATGATAGCAAATAGTACTAATTTCATTGGCAATTAAAAATAATGGTAATATGTGCTAGGTGGTAATCGTATCAAAATTAGCACAATTTCATTTAGATTCGTAGTGAAAATACATGTATCGATTAAAAATGTATAATTAATTTGGAAAAGGATTTCCTTAGCGATGCGTATTCAATGTTTCCAACCTTTATCGTGTTATTGACATCATTACACAACCTACGTTTCCATCATTATATTCATATAAATGTTGTATAAACGTACAATGTATATGAAACACCATTATATTTGCCAATGTGAATGAGGGAACCGGAAAAATTTTGATATTGCCACGATTTTCTGAAAAACATCAAAAAATGACGCTAATTAAAAATCATTAGGTTGCGCAAAATGCCGTACTTATATTCATATCTAACGGGTGATTTGAAAAAATGATTAAATTTTTATTTGAGTCGATGGAACGGTCGATATAATTTAATGTTTAAAGATTATTTCATGTAAATGTTGGCCGCGGCTCCGCTTTAGATGGCCCATGCGCAAGGTCCAATTTTGGCACACTCTCTCCAACATATCGGCCGGTATCTCACGAATAAATGCTTCAATATTGGCTTCCAGTGCGTCAATCGTTGCTGGTTTATCCCTGTAGACATTGGCCTTAACACGGCCCCACAAGAAATAGTCCAACGGCGTTAAATCACACGATCTAGGCGGCCAATTGACGGGCCCCAAACGTGAGATGAACTGTTCACCGAACTCGCCTCTCAGTAGGGCCATTGCTTCGTGTGCGGTGTGGCATGTGGCACCGTCTTGTTGAAACCACATGTCAGCCAAGTCCAGCTCTTCCATTTTGGGCAAAAAAAGTTTGTTATCATCGCACGGTAGCGCTCGCCATTCACAGTTACGTTCCGGCCATTGTCGTCTTTGAAGAAGTACGGCCCGATGATGCCACCGGCCCATAATCCACACCACACAGTGATTTTTTCGGGATGCATTGGTAGCTCTTGCAATGCCTCTGGATGGTCTTCACTTCAGATACGGCAATTTTGCTTGTTAACGTACCCATTTAACCAGAAATGAGCTTCGTCGCTGAACACAATTTTTCGATAAAAATGTGGATCTTCCTCCAACTTTGCCAGCGCCCATTCACCAAATTGGAAACGTTGTGGGACGTCGTGTGGCTTCAATTCTTGCACCAGCTGTATCTTATAAGGCTTTACACCCAAATCCTGTCGCAAAATTTTCTACGTAGTGGAGTAACAGAGGCCCAATTGCTGCGAACGGCGGCGAATCGACATTTCACGGACATCACTAACACTGGCGGATACAGCCGCAATATTTTCTTCAGTCATCACTCTACGTCTGCGTGTTGGTGGTTTAATGTCCAATAATGTAAACTGGGTTCGAAATTTAGTCACAAGCTTCCGAATAGCTCCCTCAGTAGGCCGACCAAATTGCCCAGAAATTGGAAGGAGTGCTTTATGCACTCTCTTAACCGAGCATGAATTTTGATAGTAAAATTCAATAATTTGCAAGCGTTGTTCGTTCGTAAGTCGATTCATGGTTAAATTATAGACCAAACTGAACAAGTTTGACAATGACACAAGACACGATTCACGCGTCATCCGTCAAAAACAGTGTTGCCAAAAAGATACTAGCAAAAAAAATCACCCATTATAACTCCTTACATGATCAGAGATTCGCAAAAAACCGACACTTAACAATGAGAATATTTGGCAAATTTATTATTACTTTTGACAGCTTGGAAAACTGAGTTTCTCTACTGGACCCTATTCTGTATCTCTATTCGATCACAAGTTTATGTTTGGTCTATCTATTTCAGGAAGTTTCAAAGGGATTACAGAAAGACTATAAAATTAATAGATCGGAACGCCAACTTTACGACTATCGACATCTCCTTAAGCGCCGACAGTGCCTTTTGATGATAAATTGGGAATCAGCACGTAACGTTTTATGCTGTACTGTCCTTTATAAGGATTCGATAAAGGAAAAAGGTTAATGGGAACTAAACTTTGAAAGAGGTCTATATGTTACGGGTAATAATATTAATGGCCTGGTAATGGCGCGAATGCCCAGCCAAGTTGGGTAATATTGATAAAAACATACACACACATGAATAAAATCATTGGTCAGGAACTGTCAAGCAGCGGACAATGATGGTATAGTGGAACTTGCGGTTACGTTATATATAATGTGTGGTTATGTTTTTTGTATTATTCACAGATGCAGAGGTAATGGCTTGCTATGAGTATCTATTACGTCAAACGTGTTAGGAACAGCTGATTATCTAGTAACATACGAAAATATCCGCTACCGACACTGACACACAATAGTCTATTTGTTTATTATTTATATTAATAATATATCCACCACCACGAAAATCGCAACATCTAAGTTTCATCTATGCAGATGATATAACTATTCTGATACAATATAAAGAAACGTCTAATATCCGAACCTTGATAGAGAACCAAATAATCCATATTCAAAACTGGCTGCAGGTGAATAAGTTAGCATTCAACATACAAAAAATGTGTTGTGTCCTATTTCAGTCAAGCCATGCCACCAAAGAACTAGCCTTAATTAATGAACCGTTATGTATCAAAAGCGATACAAACCTCCTGGGTGTCACATACGATAGCCGTCTTAAGTTTGATAAACACATTGAGGAGAGTATGGCTTCAAAACTCAATCAAGCATGCTACGCACTTGTCACCTGCCACGCAAGCTGTGCAGGCTACCTACTATGGGCTTCCGTATTCTATTATGTCTTATCAAATAACAATTTGTGGTAATAGTCCCGCAGCCAATAGAATTTTTATCATACAAAAGAGGATAATAAGAACAATGTTCAAAATGAAACCTAGAGAGTCATGTAGAAGCATATCTAAAGTCAACCGCTTATTAACATTACCGGGAATTTATATCTAAACATTCCACTATTTATCTTTAACCATAAAGAAAAGTTTGAAAAAAACGTCTTCAACCACAGTTACAATACTCGAAAAAATCAGAAATACATTACTCTACACTGAAACTTTACAATGCCTTACCTCAACATATTAAATCCATTTCAGCATTCATTATATTCAAAAAAAGCATTCATAAATATATATTCGAAATGGAACCATATAGTATTGAAGAGTTCTGTGCTCTAGTGAAACCGTAAGCATCAATATCGCTGGGTTATATGTTGTCTATGTATGCTCGTTTTTGATGTACCTTAAAAAAATGTATTTTATTTACAATGTATCACAATGACGTGTTATCTCTGTTATAAAGTTCTTTGTTTTTTGTTTATAACTGAGAAATCAATAAACTTCTATTTTATTCTATTCTATTTGACTCATACAGGATGTCCCAGAAGTCGACGTCAAGCCGAAACCGGGTGATAGGCAAAGTCATAACAGCTATCAGAAAAATATTTAAAAAAATTTTATGTATGTGTTTTGAAAATTATAGGTCTTTGAAAAAGATATAGAAATTTCACACCCTACGGCAGTCTGTCAACTCCTGTTACTACAAATATTAACTTTTTTTGGATTTTATTTTTACAATGTAATGATGAATAATGCATCTTCAAACTGGTGTCTCAATCTTACTGCCAACTTTCCTCGTTCAGGAAAAATTGTCACTTATTTCCCAACCAAGTATTCCAAAGTAAAAGTTTGCTCAACTTTAACTGGCTGTACTGGAAAAAAATGTACTACGAGAGTTTGGCAAGTAACCTTTAAAGTTATCGCTTTTAATAACGATTCCAAAATGGTATAACACTTAGAAGATTACTCGTTAACTTATGCACAATTTTTATTTTAAAAAAACTGACGAAAATTTTTCAAAATTCCCTAATTAAACAGCGATTATGAAAACGCACAAGGACCCTTAAGGATAACTGTTTGCACAACAGTGGGCATCAAAATGCTGCTGATGATGATTTACCTTTACAGCAAATGCTCAAACTGTTTTCCTTCAGCCGCAATACACGCTCGACATCTTCTTAAAAAAGATCGGGTTATTAAACGAGCGAATCCACGGTTATTAACAAACTCAGCTGCTTCCAATAGTCTTTGCCGTAGCTCAGCTACATTTTGAATCGGCTTGAAATACACTTTTTCTTTTACAGTTCCCCAGTAAAAAAATCTAAAGGATTCAAATCAGGTGATCGGGCTGGCCACGGTATTGTACCAGACCGCCTTATCCATCTGCCTGGAAAGTTTTGATCGAGATACTCTCTCAGTGACAGTTCATAGTGGGCAGCCATCATGCTGAAACCACATGTCCCTGTAAATACTCAGTGGCACGTCCACCAATAAATTTTTTACATGATTTTTCAAAAAATCCAAATAAACTTCAGCAGTCAAAGTCTCTGGGAACTCAAACGGACCGATTATTTTACCATTTAAAATTCCTGTCCAATGGTTTATCTTGAAGCGATATTGAGATTTATCTTCTCTCGTCAAATGTGGGTTTGTTACGTGCCACTCGTGTAAGTTATGCAGGTTCATGTACCCATCTTTCTTAAATGTGGTCTCATCCGACCATAAATTTTTTTCAAAAAACTGTGGATCTTTCCTGTGTCTTTCTAACATTGTGCGACAAAAAGCAACTCGGGGCTCATAATCCCTGGGCAGGAGAGGTTGAACACGCTGTATGTGGTATGGATCATCATCAGCAGCATTTTGACGCCCACTGTTGTGCAAACAGTTATCCTTAAGGGTCCTTGTGCGTTTTCATAATCGCTGTTTAATTAGGAAATTTTGAAAAATTTTCTTCAGTTTTTTTTAAAATAAAAATTGTGCATAAGTTAACGAGTAATCTTCTAAGTGTTATACCATTTTGGAATCGTTATTAAATGCGATAACTTTTAAGGTTACTTGCCAAACTCTCGTAGTACATTTTTTTTCAGTACAGCCAGTTAAAGTTGAGCAAACTTTTACTTTGGAATACTTGGTTGGGAAATAAGTGACAATTTTTCCTGAACGAGGAAAGTTGGCAGTAAGGTTGAGTCACCAGTTTGAAGATGCATTATTCATCATTACATTGTAAAAATAAAATCCAAAAAAAGTTAATATTTGTAGTAACAGGAGTTGACAGACTGCCGTAGGATGTGAAATTTCTATATTTTTTCAAAGACCTATAATTTTCAGAATACATACATAAAATTTTTTTAAATATTTTTCTGATAGCTGTTGTGACTTTGCCTATCACCCGGTTTCGGCTTGACGTCGACTTCTGGGACACCCTGTATATAACTTTCATAGAATAAATGAGTATTTCTTACAGTTATTGCCTTAGGAAATATATCTATTTCAATTTTGAAAGTTGCAAGAAAACCAATTTAAAAAAGTATATTTTTCATTTTCAATACGAAATGGTGATGTCATACAAATAGTAAACAAAGAAACGCCATCCGTATGCCACTCGTGGATTAAAGTTGTCTTCTTTACATATTTCTACAGCGTGTTTCACAACTTATCCGACAAGTTTTAGCCACATTATGCACTGTTACGAAAGACGTTGATTTAAAAAAAAAAATGTAATAAAAGTGCTACAAAAATCAAGATAATAAAATAATACAGTTTAACAGTTCACCTACTTATAAAAGCTTCCACAGCATTCAAAATTTCGTCTTCGACATTTAAAACGCGTTGTGGGCTAGCCCGACCCCCATCCACTTCACGTCTAGGGCGCAAATCTCCACTAGCGCGTGCACGTAAAACAATTGAACTTAATGTTTCGTGCTGTGGTATGTGACTATTCGGAAATTGGTGTGCATACAAACGAGAAGAAGCTCGCGAATTTTGTCCTGCTTCGCTAAAACAATGACCACTAACTCCTCACTAGTGTACACATGTGCCATTTTTATTAATAAATAAATAATTAAAAACATAAACTCGTAAGATAATTTAACTAACATAAAAGTCGACCGTTCTTTAGTCAGATCACCCACGATACAGATTAAACCTTATTTACACGTCCTTGTCAGTATGAAAAAACAAAAAATTCCTGGTACCTTGTTTTCCTCAACATTTGCTACAATAAATTATGAATGCGTGTTCTGATATCACGACTATGAACGCAAAATACAGATATTATTGAAACTCAGGTTTATAACTTAATTTCTGACGGACTTTTATTAATTTTTTTTTTTGAGAAATCAACTTCTTTCGTAACAGTGCATATGGGGTTGAAATTTATCGGATAAGTTCTGAAACACCCTGTTTAAATCTCCAACGCAAAATGTTATCGTTTTCTAGTTTTGTTGAAGGAAATAGTCGTGGGAGTTGGATTAGTAAAAGCCCAAAGCTAAAATTTTTATAAAAAATCGACACATTGACGGTTGGTTATTTTTTCCCTTCAGCCCAGATTTCTGCTCTGCTGAGCTGAGGGACTTCAAGACTTATATCTAAGTACAGTGTATCTACGTAATATAAAGATACACATAAAAAGACAGAATAAGTAATACACTTAAATAAACTTTCTTTTGAGCAGTCATTCAAAACTAGGCTTAGGCGTCATACCTCTGAATAATTTGATCTAATATTGTATATCCGCAAGGGAATCGTACGGTGATGATGTCGTAAGCTACATCCAGCGAGAGGATAAAATGAAAAAAACTGTCAATTAGCCTATTCTGACGGATCTGTCAATGCTAGATCTGTAGACAGAATCGTATTATGTTGTGGTTTTTTATTTTTATTTATACTAACAACGCTTTATTTAGACAAGCTCCTTCGCATACAAGAAAAATGATACGCCAATAGTTCTTTGCCAAATAAAAATTAATTTTGAATTCCCCGTTCAATTTAAAACAAATGATCTCTCTTGAATTGTTTTCCTTCAATGCGCCATTTTTGAGTAAAAAAATAAAAACCGTTCTATTGTCTAACTTGCAAAATTATTAATAATTTAATTGGAAAAATAAAAATATTAGGGGTAATGAATAACAACAATTGACAACATACACATAACATCGAAACCAACGAAATGATTACAAAA